AACCATTCAAGCATTACAGACCAGTTTTTATGTTTTAAATTTGTCGATTGCCATACAAAAAATGCTGGGTTTTTAAATTTCACTAAATCAGGCAGGCTAACTTTTATGCTGATATTGACAACAAATATAATTTAGGATTTAAAGAAAACAATTTACAAGATGTTCCTACATTTAATAACACTTATGTAATTGTTTAGGAAATAATCAAAGTTTACACTAACAACCCATAAAACATACATAAAACATTAAAGAATAACATGAACTGTATTTAGTAAAAATTAATTGCTAATTCACAAATCTTATTTTAACAATTGCTCGATATATGCGCCATCGTTATCCACACATAAATTGTACCGCTTTCTTATTTCGAAAGATGTAACTTTTCTTAAAACATCACCAGATATTCCATTGCACGCATCAATAATTTTTTGTTTTAAAATATCTAAATTATTAGATTTTGTTTTATACACTATATTTTTTAAAATTCCCCATAAAAAGAAATCTAAGGGTGTCAAGTCCGGAGATCTAGGCGGAAATTTCAAGGGCCCGTGTGTCCCCAACCATCTTCCGTGGTAGACTTCATTCAAATAATTTTGAACAATGACCGCATTGTGGCAAGGAGCTCCATCTAGTTGAAACCATAAGTTTCTTCTGATTTGCAGTGGCACATGTTCCAGCAAAAGAGGAAGGTGATTTTGGAGAAAATCTAAGTATCTTGGGCCCGTCAAGGCGCCTTCATAAAAGTATGGCCCTACTAAGTGCCGCCCGACTATTCCGCACCAGACGTTTATCCAAAGTGGCCCTGTATTTGATGTTGTCTGATTTTGCGCGGGTTTTCGTCTGACCAATAATGGGTATTTTTTTTGTTTGGTAATCCATGACTAACAAAATGACTTTCGTCTGTCCATAGTATATGAGAAAATAAATTAGGATTGTCATCCAAAGACACCAAAAACTGACAAATAAAATCCTTCCTCCTCTCAAAATCTCTAAGCGAAAGTTCTTGCAAATTATGAAATTTATAGTCATGGTATTTGTTGCTTTTTAAAACTCTTTGTATCACACTATAATTTAAATTTAAGTCTCTTGAAGCCTCTCTTATAGAAGCTTCATGGTGATTGTTAAAATAATTTAAAATAATTGCCACATTTTCATCCGTCGTGACAGTTTTTGTTCTTGATCTTTTACCTGCAAATTTGGCTCATTGAATTTATGGGGATTTAATAAAAAACACAAAACCTACCTTCAAATGCTTTAGGGTTTTGACGTAAACTAGTTTCTAACCTGGCAAACATTTTGTGGTCTGGAAGGTTGCGTTCGGGGTATTTTTCCGCATATAATCTTCTTGCAGCTAAACCATTTTTTTGGGCTTCTCCGTATAAAAGAAGCATGTCAAATTTATCTGAATGTGTAAACATATTTCTTATTACTCACTATTTTAATAGGAATAATTGAAATTACACTGACAGTTTCAGACATCAATCAATATAAGCCAATTATGTTTTTTCAAAGCCTACCTGATTTAGTGAAATTTAAAATACCATGCATTCTTTGTATGGCAATCTAGAAATTTGGAACATAAAAACTGGTCTGTAATTTTTGAATGGTTTTAGATGGAAAAAAATAGTATTTAAAAAAAGTGTTTTTATTGAATAGATCTTTCAATTTCTGAAATAAAAATGGTATGCTTCTGACAAAAAAAAATTAAAGCGTCGCGACGCCCAGCGTCGTTTATTTATAACTTCCTTATCCATCCCAATTTCAAGCAATAACCAGCCCAAATAAAATACTTTTTACAGAACCCAATTTGCTGCAGCCATTTACGAGAAAAACTCATTTCCCATGATAAAAGAATCACCCTGTACATAAAAAAAATATGACGATAAAAATTAATGCGTTGTTAATCTTAATATTTTCCAATTTATAATTTTGGTTCTCCAACACGGATATAAATATCTATTTTATAGGTTTGTACATTAGTATAGTCCTTGAGCCTTTATTGATACCAGCACTAGGGAAATAATGAGTTCGCATGCATAGACAGATTTACTAAGACACAGCAAACGTTTAAAAGAATTAAAACAGAAAAAGCTCCAATCTGAGGGAGCACCCCCGTTGACAGGATAAACGAAAATCCAAACGGAGGATGTTTCGCAGGCGACAGGACAGATACCAAATAATTCAAGTAAAGATATTTCCACTAGAAAGACAGTCAAGAGTAAGAATAAGCAAGCATCTAAAATCAGAGTAGCTGAAATAAAATCAGAGTAGCAATAAAGAAAAATCAGTTGAAGCAAGATGAATTAAAGAAAAAGCAGGAGCTGTTGGATTTAAAGCTAGCTTTACAACTGGAAGAGATAGGAGATGAGTTTGAAAGCAATGAATTCGGATCGTCCCTACATGAGTCAGCTCGTTCTAACATGGAGGATTGGATTGGAGAGGTAAACAAAACACTCATCATGGACAAACAAATCTTACCATCCCATGTTCAATGGTAAGAGAACCTTTCTATTGTAATGCACATATACCGTCTACTTCAAAAGTACCAAATGAAATGAGCCTTCCACAAATTTAAAAATTTCTTACTCGACAATTGTTGTCAAAAGAATTACCATTTTTTGATGGTAACCCTATGGATTGGCCAAATTTTATCAATCAATATCGAAATTCAAACGAAATTTGTGGTTATTCGAATGAGGAAAATGAGTTTAGATTACAGAAATGTCCGAAAGGCAATGCTAAAAAAGTCGTTCAGTCATTACTAATTATGCCACAAAATGTTGAAAAAGTCATAAAATTATTGGAATCTCGATTTGGTCGTTCTGAACAAATAATTTTTGTACTTTTGGACAAAATAAATAAATTTCCTAACATAAAAGAAAATAAATTTGATCTTTTTATTGAATTTTCGGACGAAATTAAAAATTTTGTAGCCACTTTAGAATCTTTGCACGAAGTTCATTTGCGAAACCCCATTTTAATTACTGATATTTTAAATAAGTTACCTACTTGTTATAAACTATATTAAATACCTTTTAAAAATTTCTAATCCAAAATCAAAATTGGTCGAACTAAGCCAATGGTTAGAAGAAAAGGCAATTCAAATTACTTCCTACTGACGAAAAGTGGTCACTAATAACAGCAAAGAAAATCTATTTCTCATGTCTTTTGCCATTCCATAATATAAAGACATGCAGAAAGAGATAGACTTGTGCTATCGAGGGATGTAATAAGTAACATCATGAGCCATTACATAAAACCCAAATTTTAAGACAGGATATTCCCACAAATTCAGACAATTCTGAAGCTGTTACCGGTATCAACTGCCATATATCGACAAATAAAAATGTTTTACTAAAAATTTTACCTGTGTACATTTATTATAGTCTTATAGATCAAAATTTAGCGACTACTCTTGGAATGTCAGATCCATGCCAATCTCTTTGTCTACAATGGACTAACGATAATATAGTTCATCATTAAAATGATTCTAGAGTAGTAAGTTTTACCATAGCAGGAATTAACGAGAGTACTAGTTTTCAATTAAGACACGTTCAAACAACTAGATTGTCTTCACCCTCGCAGACAATAGATGTTGATAAACTTAAAAACGGTTATCCAAATATCAGTGGTAAGATATCTTCAATGAAACATGCGCAACCTAAAATAATAATAGGACAAGACAATTGGCCCCTGTTAATTGACCGACAGTTAATAAGAGGTTCTTGGAGTGGTCCCGCAATCAGTTAGACCCTGCTGGGATGTATTCTTCGTGGACACCTCGAAGAAAATAGTCCAAAGCCTACTCAAAATGACGTTTTTTGTTATATCCAGAGTAGCAATGTCAAAACTAAGATGATTTAGACATTCTACATGATCTGGTAAAAGGACAGTGGAAACTGGAATCTAATTCTAGCAAAAAAGAAGAAGGTTTATTGCCAGAGGATACTTACCCAAAAAGTATTAGGCATGACTATAAAAAGAGTTGGCAACAGATATGAAACAGGCTTGTTGTGGAAGAATGACAACATTGTTATGAGTGAAAGCAAAACGAATGCCTTTAGAAGACTTTGTTGCACTGAATGGAAAATGGATAAAAACAAAAGATACGCAAGAAGCTATTATCAGAAATTTAAAGATCTTTTAAATAAAGGCTATATTAGAAAATTGTCCAAAGACGAAGTTTGTATTACTTCAAATTTGACATGATACTTACCTCACTTTGAAGTCATAAACCAAAAAACCCCGACAAATTGAGAATCGTCTTCGACGCCTCAGCTGTCAGCAATGACGTAAGCCTAAATGACCACTTATTGACAGTTTCAGATCTCTATAATTCACTGCAATATATTCTCCTAAACTTTAGGATAAAAAATATGCTTCACGGTTGACATCAAAGAAATGTTCTTACAAGTATAAGTAAGAAAAAAAGATCGCCAATCACAAAGACTCTTGTGGAGAGGAATGGATAGAGACAGGGTCCCAGACACCTACGAAACCTGTGTTGTCTTTTTGAGTCACCTAGTGGACCGTGTTTGGGCCAAGAAGCCAAAAATAGAAATGCCATGAACCATCAAGATAATTTTCCAGCTGGTGTTCATGATATTATTTATAATCACTACATGGATGATTATCTAGGAGGGGCTGACACTAAAAAAGAAGCCATTCAACTGATAAATGACTTTATATTTTATATTTATATTTTATTATCTGTAACTGAATCGCAAACGATAAAAATATTTTAGACAACTTAACATTTTAAAAATCGTGACGAAACGACTACCGAGAGAATTTTAGGAGTATTTTGGAGCCCAAAAAAAGATATTTTTAGGTTCCAAACAAAATTTCAAAAAATATACACCGACATTTTTGAAAATCGTAGACGACCTACTAAAAGAGAGAACCTAAAAATTGTCTTGTCAATCTTTGATCCCTTAGGATTTTTATCTCGTATACTTATTCACTGTAAATTGCTTTTACAAGACATTTGAAAAAGTAAGATTGGATGGGATGACGAAATCACATTTAATATGAATGAAAGATGGATAATTGTTATGAAAGATTTAAAAAATTTATACAAATTTAGCATTCCTAGACAGTATTTCACCTTGGATAGAAATACGAGTGACATACAACTTCACGTTTTTGTTGATGCCTCTGAGACATGTTATGCAAAAGGTATTGAAAATTTATATCTCTAAAATTCCTAATTTAAATACGTTAAAACAACAATGCAATAAAATGTTGTCCTCATTGCGGCCCTGGTCAAAAATTACATTCGCGTGATTTTGTGTACATTTACTGAATCTCGGATTGGAATAGACTTTAGGTTTGTACAACTGCTAAAAACCAAAATCGACTATTCAACTTAATGGTACTAATTGATCATGATATTATCTTGGACAATCTAAGTCAATTGGAACAAGATCATTGTAGAACGTATTTGGATCCAGGAAAACTAGGGGTTATTAAAACAAACACCTAATTTTAGGAAACTTGTTTATTTGTGATAGAAATATGTGTTTGGAAACATCTGTTTACTTAAAGTAATTGATTTATTCTTAATAACAGTTAAAAAAATAACTATTTTTCCGAGCAAATAATTTATTTGGCACTGTTTTTTCGGTGTATATTTGTTTTTGCCACTTATATCAATTTCTTTCTGAAATTTGTTTGCTATACATTATATTGACTTCATATTAATCCATTTAGGTGTGCCTGATGATTAAATAACACTTCGAATCCAGTTTCTAATTAAAAATAACTTTGTGAGACTGTTTCTGCCGACTTCCTATATTAAATAATTTAGCTTTAGCTTATCACTTAAATACTTGGATGGTTTGGAGTAAATAACTTTTAAATTGATTTATTATTAAAGTTCCATATATATAAAATGGCTTTCTACAAGGGAAGAGTCTTATTAATTGCATATTGCAATATATATTTTTTCTTTCATCAGAAATAATAAAATTGTCCGAAACGAACCGCCAAAATAATACTTTTGTTATTTATCAAGCGTAAAGACGACTTAACTATTAGACAGAAATAAAATATTGCCCTTCACACATTATACACACACACAAAGCTTATATCCTTGACAGTGACATTTTTCAAACCTCAGAAAATAACATAACAAAGACTGATGAGCGCACAAAAAATAAAAAGCACGTTACCAAAAATATTTCGTTTATATGTTTCCTGGAATAATATCGCGGAGATAAAAGAGGATAAACTTAAGAAAAAGGAAAAGTATCTTTCAGTTTTTCGATGTTAGCTTCTGAATGCTAATTAATGTTTAACTCACGTCTGTCTTATTTAAATTCATAGGAGTTACACCAATGTTAGAATTACAACTGAAATAAATTAATACACGTGTAAATAGAAACGTTTGTCTTTGGTAACACGTGCTTTGTATTCAGATCATGTCGTAACTTGTTACAAGCAAAGTAAAAGTAAAAAATTATATAAAGTAAAAATAGAATTGTCGACTGAGCAATAACGTTCTATAATTTACTATGATTACAACAAGTATTGGGAAAAAAAGCTTCATCCAGAGCGAGTGTGTTAAGATGGTGTGTTGAATTCAAAAGAAGCCATAGTTCACTAAGTGATTAGGCAAATCCAAACAGGGTTTTAGTTCCATGCAAGATAATTTGGACCTTAGAGCATATATAAGACTAGAGGTGTTACTCAAATGGGTTTGTTATGTACTGAGGAGGGTAACCCTTTCGGTGTTAGGTTCACGACGCATTATGATTGGCCAGTTAGGAACACGACGATTTATTATTGGCGAATTTAAATAACGCGGGTATTTGTGATAAATGACATTTCATTTGACGTCTTTCGTTTTTAAAAGATCGGTTTTTGTCTTAGAATATGTTCTAAGGGAGTGAACATTACATACTTTGATTACTATACGGTGCAAGAGAGAGGTCCGACACGCTCAACATAAGGCGCGGCCATTTTGATGCCTTTACCACAGTTTATAGCTAAAGAATCAGATTGCTCACTCTGCGTCAGTACTTTTGATCTCAATATTCCAGCAACTCGGATAATACAATATATGACAACCACCTATAATAAAACAGCAGTCTTCTGCGCATCTTGAATTTGTATCCCTGGAGTGGATGTTATTTTGGAACTTTCAACTGGTCCGAGTGAGCTAACTGATTCTTTAGCAATAAACTGTGACTCCAAAAATAATATTTACTGACACTGACAGCAGCAAGCAAAATATCAGGTGCGTTTTAATCATCCGCTTTTGCTTCCGGAATTGTCGGTTTAGTCGTTTTAACCTGTCAGATTAAAACAAGAAAACCGACAATTCCGAAGCAGAAGACGATGATTAAAACGCATCTATTAAAAATATTGCGCCAAGATGTAGGCAACACGTAATAAGGCATCAAAATGGCGGAATTTTCTATCTCTTTTTAAAAGGCACTCAGAAAGCTGCGCAGTTCGACCGTTTTAGTTCCATGCGATATAATTTAGACGTTTTAATTTTAGTTTTGATATTATTAGATTGTCATCAATTTTAAATGTAACTTCTGTTAATAAAACCTTTTTTAATTTATAACACGTACTATCATAAATGAACATCTTCATTTAGAAAAGATTGTAATGAGATGGGTGTCAAATCAACCTAATGCTTCCTCTTACACCGCTCAACAAACTAGTGAACATTTGCTTCAAAAGTCAGAGTACTTAAACATCCACAGTACTCGTCTGATTTAGCTATGTGTGATTTCTGGCTATCTAATAACCTAAAAAAAATAATACGCTGACGAACATTTTATCCCAATGAGCGACTGGATAAAGGCATTCCACCATTCCACTTGTAAACAATATTACAAAAGTGCATTGATATTGGAGTAGATTACTTTTAATATTAAAAACGTTTTTTTAAATCTTTACTGATTTTTCTGTGCTTCAAAATTCATAGAGTGCCCGTTACCATTGTTGATGGCAACGTATATTTTGGGTTTATACACACACCTAGATGACTATACAGCGCAAGAGAGACATCCGACACGGCAACAATTGAAAAGTCTAATAAGCCGCCATTTTGCCAGAAATCTGTCAAAATATATATGCAACCAAAATGCATGGTAATGTGTATGGAGGGTAGAGAAAAGGAGGACAATCTTATATGGATCTTTATATTAAAAAGTGGCCACCAAAATGTATACAATTAAGATGGCGCTCGTGTAGCCAGAGGACAAAAGCCAATGCTATATAGTCATATAGATTGCTCATTCATAATGCAATCAGACAGGAAGCAGTAAATTGAGACCTCTGTGCCATTTTAATATAAGAATTATTTATTGTTTATATTATTATTTTTCAATAAAATTTGACTATTGTCGTGTATTGTCAAAATTTATCTACGATCACAGAACACTTACTCTTCTACGATCAGTCACTTTTCACGGTGTAGTTTTTAGTTTTTTATGGTTGAGCAATATTTATTACTATATACATCATTGGTGTCATTGTGTGATCTGAATTATCGACGTCCCCTGGGCACAGAAGCGCCATCTTAATTGTATACATTTTGAGGGACACTTTTTGTATACAGAGATTGTTCTCCTTTCCTCTACCCTCTATAGTAATGTGAAAGCCAGACAGTATGCAACCAACATTATGCGTTTTTGTTAAATTGCATGCATCAAGCTCCTTTGTTACTATATCTATATAGGCATTTTATAATAATTAAAAAAAAATTGTTTATGCATCAATTACTAACATTATTTTGTGAAATTGCATTATTACATATTCCTAATACTTTAAAAATCAGATACATTGATCAAATCATTCGAAAAAAATGTGAGATAATGCTGTCGCTTGACTGCTCAGAACCCCCGGGGTTCGTCAATGCAGGATCGAAGAACAAATCATAATTTCCCCGTAAAGGTGTCTCTGTGTGAAAATTGGGATGGTACATTGGGATTTATTATTATGACTAGGTAATTAACTACTAAAATAGCATCGGCATTATCGGCATCAAAAGTTGACACTTAAATCTGACAATTAGCTGGCAAAATGGCGGAGTATTCTATCCCGTTTCAATAGACACTCAGATCAGATGCGCAGTCGTTCATAGCCGTATATTTCTCTAGGTGTGTGGGTTTATAGTACAATATAAAGAAAAGTCTGTGTTTTGGAAAAAATTACCAATTTGTCCCGATCTCCCCTACTGTATATGTACATATTTACAAGAGTAGATCAAAGAAAAACAAGAACAAATTTAAAAAATCTCAATATCGAATAAATTCAGTAAAATGCCTTAGGGACGATTTGGAAATACGCTCTTGGCGAATTTTTATTTTTGCTGTCCTTTGAGAGGAAAAGTTTATGTTCCAATAACTGGGAAAATTGTTTGTTTTATCGGTAACGTGATTATATAAACCTTTTTGTGGTTTTCAAAGTTTTTAATTTATAAATGCGGATAAATGTATTCCATAAATAAGAGCTTATGGTCAGCCGGAAGTAAAAAAATAATCAATAAAGGGAAACCGTCCAAATTAGAAACCACGCCCTGTTATATTAAGAAATCGTTTACAAAATGGCTACCCATAGAAAATGACAGGCATATGGTAGGTTATAATATGGCAACACTGTGGACCTGGTGTTTTGACATGATCACTAATGTAGATAGTTAGATAGTTTGATCTTCTATGTTTTTAAAAATAAACATAAGCATATTATGTTAAAATGTAGGTACTTATTTTTGTTTTATTATTCAAAAACTGGAAATTGGCAATATGGCAGCTCGCAAACGACCCGCTCTGAGCAATCTATATAACTATATATGTATCATGAACCCTGCCAATGAAAACTGGCCTACAGGGTTGCCATATCTAAACTGTCAGTTCCAACTGGCAGCAGTTTGACACGTCGTTGGAATGCCTAATACAAAATGGTCTCTGAAAATCGATGGAAATTATTTTCAAATTTATAACTTTGCCGCTAGGTGCTCCGAAAGGTTCAAGAACATGTTAAATAAAAACTTTAATACTGCATGGAAGTAAATGGGTCGTAATTTAAACATTTAAATAATTAAAATTTGTTTGGAATTCTTCCATTTATTTCACCGATTCTTCCCCCCCCCCCTGAACGGGGGAATGAACCTATTCTTGAAGAAGTCCCCTTTGAAATCAAAATCTATCAGTCTCGAGGATTTCCAAAAAAAACTTTTCATAACAAAATATTTCAGGTGGACTGTTTTAATTGGGCCACCCTGTAGATTATTGAAGTGAATCAAAACCACAATAGTTCTTTGTACAATTAAATATGGGTAATTATTCTCCTTATGTAGTACTATTATGGTTGACAGGTTTAAATTTAATTATATTTACTATTTTTAATAAATTCTTCTGCAGGTTAAATGACAGAAAAATTTGCAAAGCTATTACTTGATTGGCAGTGGTGTCTACAGCTACAATAACTAATATACGATTAGTACACAAGTAATGGTGTAAAGAAAGAGATGATTTATTAATATTAATAATATTTATTGGCAAAAGTAAATACATGAAAAACAAATAACAATTGATAATATGTCAATAAATATTTGCAATTTCTATGAGGCTGAAGTGCTAGTGTGGTGATTAAATAATTTATACAATTTTTGAAGTAAATTAAACTAAACTAAGAACTAACAAATTTAAACTATTTAAAAATAAATACAAAGTTTTTATTACTCAAGTAAAACTTTTTTTACTGGATGAGATAAATTCTAGATTTTTGTAACTTTTTAATTTTCAATTGACCCACCGCCGTAACTAGAGAACTTGTTATCCAGTTTTTTCTTTTAACCTCATTCATTTTAATTTTTTTATTTGTTACAGATTTGCTTATTGCGGTTTGGACTACTTCTAAGAATGCTTGAGTTGCATCGTCTAAATTTTGTATTTGTAAAACGGTATCCCAGATTGCATTCGTCATATTTCCTTCCAGCCATGGATCCAATATATGCTCTCTGCCGGTACTAAATGATATCTGTTCTTGTTTATTGCCGTCTTTTCCTAACTTTTATTTTTTATAGACATATACTTAACTCAAAAATTTCTTCAGTATAGTTATTTTCAACAGTTCTTCTTTTAAATTCTACTGTGTGGTCCCAAGCGACTACAATATTAAACCAACTACTTTATGCAAAAATTTAGATACTTCAAATATATTTTAGATAGTTAAGCTTTATTACCAAACGATAACAGATTCATAACTGTCCCGTAAATTACATTTATTATAACTCATATAAACAAAGGCATTATCTATGAACCATTATATGAACCCCTTGAGATGATTAAAAAAGCAAATCAATTTAACGATGACAATGTTATATGTTGACAACGTTTATGGTTTATACTAAAATTTCGATCTTTTAATAACATCTTCAATGATTTGCAGTTTTCCTCTATAATAAAAAAATATCGTATAAAAAAGTTAACGTTATTGAAACTACAATTTTCAATTTCAGAAATTGATAATAAAAACAAACGGATGGAGATGTCTCTAGTAACATAATGTCCCAATATGTACTGCTTTTTTTCTTGTACACAGGGTGTTTCAAAAAAGATGACCCTGTTGCTAATAGATAGAATACTGCAAAATAAGTTTGGTTAGTAAAAAATTACTTTTGTATCGGAATCCAATTTCAAGATACAGTGTATTAAAAAAAATGTTATACACATTTTTTGCGATTATATCGAAACTGCTGGCAACATTGTAATTAAATTTTATACGAATATGTTTTGGAAGGTAACATATCGCATAAATTGGTTTTTATATCTGCTTCTCATAGAGGGCACCAGTTACACGGTTCGTACCGAGTACTTTTAAACATAACTCTTTTGAGTAAGGACTTTTGATGGACCAGATTTATTATACAAAGTAGACACTATTCACAAGAGCTATAGAATTTGTGATGTTCATTTTCCCCACGGATATTCCAAAAAGAAAAGAGACAAATACTGCGAAAAGATGCTGCTCTACTCAATTTTTTATTTTAAGTGGCATCATTGACGAGGCAGTTCCAAGTACATCGACTTCTAGCACTGAAGCCTCTCAAGTGCCATGTACGAGTAATTTATATCAGCTTTTAGAACCATCAGCTTCAACCATTGGCAATTCTTCCGATAAGGCAGAATCGATTCAGCGGTCTCCAATACGTTTTCCTTCACGGAGTGTCCAAATATCAGAGGAACTAACTTTTCTAAACCCAAGAAAGGAAAAACTAAGGGAGATCAACAATGCCCTGAAATTTGAAAACAAAGCGTTGAAAAGAAACAACCAGGTCCTTCTTAATAAATGTGACAATCTCGAAAAAAAGCTTCAAGAAAAATTGGAAGACACGATCACTCTCGAGCAGTACAAAACTTGTAGGTACGTATTCACTGTGCCCATCCAAAAAACTCGCAGAATATATTAATGTTCAGATTACCCAAAGCATGAAATCAGCTAAAGGTCGAAGGTATTCAGACGAATTTAAATTGAAGTGTTATTTCTCTGGCCCAAAGGTTTATAAAACACTTCTAACTAAATTATTTTGCCTGTCTGGGCCACAATCCCTTAGAATCTTATTACGTGGGATATACATGCCACCAGGTTTGGAAGTCTCCAATGTGTTCAAAACACTTAAAATTAAAGCTGACAATTTTAATGAAATGGACAAATATTGTGTACTGTGTGTGGATGAGATAAGCATAAAAGCAAATTTTTTTTTTTTAACCGTAGTGCGGATTATGTTGTAGGCGTGGAAGATCCCGGCAATGGGAAAAGAGTATTTAAACTAGCAAGAACAGCCACTTTCTTGTTGGTCAGGGGGATTTTCTCTAATTGGAAGCAACCTTTGAGTTATTTTTTTTAGAAGTATAGTGTAGACGAAATGGCAAAAGAACATTATTACGGTTAACACCTTATCACTGTGAACTTAATGAAGAGATATGTCGAAAAAAACAATACATCATTAAAACGTTATTTGACAAATAACTGTAAACTTGATCACCTACACTTGAATCCAAAAAAAGTAAGTTTGATACTCAAGTAACCCCGTTTGGATATCAGAGAGTTAAATTGTTAATGTTAAAATGTTTAAAAAAAAGGTTAATAAATATTTATTATATTAAAAATGTCGAAATAGAGATAGCAATAATATCTAAGTACATTCTCTCTCATAGGAGAAATATAAATCATCACCTCCTCATCAAGCTTTGTTAAATTATCCATTTCAGGGATTTGTCTTGTGAGAGGGACATCAATTTCAATACCTTCTGCCTTATAGGAAAATCCACAGGAGTTGATTCTTGGTGACATTACTGTTTACGTAAATTTGGGTCTTCAAGCGCTAAACCTATAAATTCCGTTTATTACCAAAATTACTAGAAGAATTGAAAAATCGATTTCTTGTCTAACTTTCATCTCTAGCAGATCATTTTATATATAATTTTTTAAAGAAATAATCCGCGATGGCCCCTGACCTCACAGGTTAGGTAAATTAGTTTAATTTAATGTATAATCTTTTTGCAAGGTACTGTTCATCAAATTTCTAGAGGCTTTCGACGGCTAGACAGAGAAAACACTACTGACAGGCATCCCGACGGCTTTACGCAATGAAAGTACACTCTGCGCATCAAGCATTTCACTATTTCATTCAGACGTAAATGTCAGATGTAAATTTCGCTAAAACATTTCTTTTATTTTCGTTTGTGTTTTTTGATCATTACAGTTTAATAGAACCTAAGTATGGAGTTTAATAGCAAATTAAGAGGCCGCGTGATTAACAGTCAATCTCGCGAAATAATAGCCAATGTTATAGAGTTTATGAGAAGAGAAGGAAACTTTAATTCACCTTCAATACCATTTAAAAATGTAAATGATCGTGTTGCTGCAGCCACAGGAGTATCTAAAAACACTGTCGTCCGCATTTCTGGAGAGAAAAAACGAATCGATAACCGTGAGATATCGGAATTTTCATCACCAAGAAAAACCATTAAAAAACCAAAAACAGTTAATGATATATATGAAGCTGCACAAGAATCAAATTTTATTTTTTTATTATTAGATAGCTATTTTTGTTTCTGAGTTGTGTTCATTTACAGGCTCAATTTTTTTCCGTTTCTCCTTTTTGATTTTATATGGGGTTTCAAGTTGTTTTTGACTTATTTCGACGTAAATCACAACAACACACTTTTTTAATAAAGCAAACAAGTGTTAAGAGGTATATGTACGTGTAAACTACAATTACAAAAAATTGATATGAAACCCATGAAACCACCAACAAAAATGTAAAGCTAGCTTCCGTACTAGAACATGGTGTCATTCATCGAGATAATTTATCGTTTTGTTTAATAGATCAAGAAATGTAAATATTCCCCTGTTATTTTTTATAAAATTATAAGAGAAATAAATTTTTTTCTAAATAGTATAGTTTATTATTTTGTAGAAAAACAAAATTTCGAAAATTTTAGTAATGTTTCAGAAACAACCGTTATTAATAATAGGTACCATTTTCCTTAATAAGGTAGAAATAAAATATAAACTATTTCCACGATTTACAAAGGCCTACAAAAAAATTATAGGTATTTTCCGCTATCCTATAAAATTTATATTTTCTGACTCAATTTCAAAAGGTTGAAGGAATTCCAAAACACCTTTTATGGCATAATAATTATTTTCAATTCTGCATACTATCTTTAGCTGCTTTTAAAAACGTTCTAAGAAAGTCCAATCAGACCAATTTAATCCCTAAACTATTCCACACTTTTAAAATTTAATTACCTAAAAATATTAAAAACTATTTAAAATAACTTGTTTAGCAGACTGTACAATAGCTATCTTAGTCACACGTAGCGCGTTCTCTGTCTGGGCGTCAAACACCTCTAGAAATTTGATGAACTGTAACTCGTATGTCTCCAGGCCCTACAGGTTGGGCAAATTGAGTTTAATTTTAATTTTTTTCTATTTTATGTATACTTTTTTACGAAACAATCCGTGACGGTTCCAGGTCGCACAGGTTAGGTATCTGTGTGTGTCTGTGTATGTGTCTGTGTGTGTGTCTGTGTGTGTGTGTCTGTGTGTGTGTGTGTGTGTGTGTGTGTGTGTGTGTGTGTGTGTGTGTGTGTGTGTGTGTGTGTGTGTGTGTGTGTGTGTGTGTGTGTGTGTGTGTGTGTGTGTGTGTGTGTGTGTGTGTGTGTGTGTGTGTGTGTGTGTGTGTGTGTGTGTGTGTGTGTGTGTGTGTGTGTGTGTGTGTGTGTGTGTGTGTGTGTGTGTGTGTGTATGTGTGTGTGTGTGTGTGTGTGTGTGTGTGTGTGTGTGTGTGTGTGTGTGTGTGTGTGTCTGTGTGTCACATAAATCATGAACCGATACACAGAAAAACAGCTTTGTTCCAGCGTCCAATGTGTTGATTAGATTTTGGGCAGTGTCGGAACATCTGGGGGGGTACTTTATAGGTGGTCATTTTTATATTTTATGGAATATATCTGTTATTTACGTTTAAGGAAGAAAATTCTTCAAATAAAAGGTACTTCTTATATTATTATCTAAAATTTTTGTTCTATACAAAATTTTCCTAAAATGGTCCGTATTCGAGAAATTTGACAAAATGAAAAAAAATATATTTTTTTAAAAATTGTTTAAACAAAAGTTGTTTGAAATATAATTCTCTATAATTTTGATCCCTTACATAATTTCTCTAAAATAGACCGTATTCGAGATATTTGAGAAAATGTGTAAATTTCTAAATTTGAAGAAAACTCAAAAACAGATAAAGAAAAAAACATTAAATTTTAAACTTAAGTTTTATTTCGGCCTGACGTGAAATGATTAGATTTTGGACAAAGTCGGAACATCTGGGCGGGTACTTTATGGGGGGCCGTTCTTATATTTTATGGAATATATCTGTTATTTATGTTTGGAGAAGAAAATTTTTCAAATAAAAGTTACTTCTAATATTATTATCTATAATTTTTGCTTATGTAAAAATTTCCTGAAATGGTCCGTATTCGAGAAATTTGACAAAATGTGCAAAATTCCGATTTTTATGAAAATTGTTGAAATAAAAGTTGTTTGCGATATCGATCTCTATAATTTTTGTTTTTACATGATTTTTCTAAAATGGACCGTAATGGAAAAATGGTAGGAAAAGTGCTAAATTTAAATTTTTCAGTATTTTCATTTTCAATGAATATCTATAGAAAAATGTTTCGAGGTAGATGTATGTGGAAAATGTATATATTTATTTTATCCTCTAAACATTTATGAAGGTGCTGCAATAGGTTGTACAAAATAACCGGAAAAAGCCTGTAATAACTAGATAGGAAAGTCATGTGTTGGACACATCAGATTTTTTACTGAGTAAATTGAACTTATTTTGCATTGTTTTACCTATCCTAGCAGCAAGGCCACCTCTTTAGAAACACTCTGTATTATTATTTTGAATTTTCTCAATAATTACTTTTGATTTAATGAATTGTATGTCTTTGATAAGTTCAGATACATTGCTAATGCTAAATTATTGTTTTCTATTGTCTGAAATGCATGTATAAATTAAAAAATGGATGTTTTATTCTGATTTAGGATATAGACTAATTAAGAGAACATAGGCTAGTTCATAAGATATTGTAATGCAACTGAGATAAAAAAAAACGAATTGTCTAACTAAATAAAGCCATTTTTTGTATTTTATTATTACAACCTATGTTTAGACCCCTAAATATCAAAGTTATTGGGAAATACGTTAATCACATCTGACGCCGTTCTACTAATTTTTCAATTTCAGAAAGTATTTAATACTTAAGTTTTTCCATTATAAACATTTTATTTTTCTCCCATGTTGACATCATATTATATTTTTGCAGCTTTAACAATTTTAAATAAAAACAATGAAGCTATTGAATAAATAAAATTCTAATTTCATGCTTGAAAACAAAAAAATAATTACTATTCTACGTAATTATAAAAAAGAAAGCGAAATCTTTTTTTACCATTGCCCTTTTTAGGTTGTATATACTAATCCCAAAAAAAGAGTAAATAACCCAAAATAAAATTCGGAATTTTTTGTTACGTTTCTTTAAACCGAAACCATCCTTAAATAATACAACAGAACAGGATGGTTTATTTTTGAAATATTTACATTAATTCCAGACGACTGACGAACTTATTTAAAAAGAAAATCTGGTCGAGATTCGGCCACTTTCATTGAGTTTTCAAAGGAAAATGGCTCTGAACTTGGATTGGGTCTGTTCCCTTGGGATCCCGGCGAACGTACGAAAAAGGTGTTGTGTGCTTAACAAATTGAATCCTGAAAGTTAAATTCGCAAAAAGTAAATGGCGATTTTCGAATGAATATTGAATGTCTGCTTGAATGTGTTACAGCAATTTGAATTTTTTTTTCTTCCAAAGTGTAATGATAACAAATATGAATTAGAGGAGATAGGAAAAGGCTATTTTCCCTGGTGTATTAAAATAAGCATAGCATGCGAGTCGGTATATTTGCAATTAATTTTTTTCCTGGGAAAATTTAAAAAAGATCCGCTAGGGGCAGCACTGGTTTGGGAGTACTATGAAGTCTTCATAGGGAGTACATATGTTTTGGATTATCTATTGACAACAACGTCAAACGTATAGATTGATTAACGGAAAATGATGAGCCTGGAACGAAATTGAAATTTGCAAAAGTGCAAGATTATCTTGTCCGGTACTTAAAACGATGGCTTGCATGTCGTGGCTTAACCGTGTCAAGCAACAAAAATGTCCTGGTTGAAAGATTAGTTGGTTTATAAATTTTCTCGTATGTCATTGTAATGTTGAAAATTTTATAATTTTAAATAAACTATGTTGTGTTTTTATATATATGTAAGAATTGAAGAATGCATTGCAAATGGTAATGATATAAAAATTTTCATTGGAATTGACGGTGGTAAATGTCGTAACGCATGAAATTATTCAATCCAAATCTACCAAGTTCAACATCCTGCACTTTTCCTACTACAAACTGGGCAAATTTTTCATCCCAAGCTATCCTTCGTTCTTTTTGCTATGCTATAATGTATACTTATTACTACTGGTTTTATTGATACTTTACATTTGAATGCTACTTTATCTGACGATGACGAAAAGCTTTCGAATTGTGCAATTGCTTGTAACGACTGTGCTACCTACTTTCTGTGCCTAAGCACCTGAGGTGGGATTTATGTCAATCCAAAGTTGGATGCCGACTAACTACATTGAAGAAGGGGTGAGTCGTAGAAAAAGTTGTGTTCTTAAGTGGGCGCCAGGAGTTTAACCTCACATCCAACAATCTATGTGACAGT